ACGCTTGTTAACCCCTTGGTGCCAATGGTACGCATATATGCAGCCTAACAGAAGTAGGTCATTATCAATGAGGCCGTATATATGTGTACTGTCTTTGTGCCGGGACCGCTCCGCACAACGAGCTCCCAGAACAGAGATGGGGCTTTCACTAAGAGCCCTGGGTCTTGTACTAACGACTGGGACCCAGGACGCCTGGTTCCTGGTCACCTAATCGCTGCAGTAGCCTCTGATTGGCTATCAAAATGATCAAAGTGCAGCCTGCCCATGTGTTTTCTTTCTCTTCTGAATGGAGAGAGATACATTGTATCTTTCTCTCCTTTTGGGGGAGAAAAATGTAAACCAACAAAAAAAAAAAAAAAATCTAAAAATTAAATTAAAAAAATCCAGATCTAGGTTAACCCCTTAGCGCCGGCACCTACCGGCCCTTTAAGGGTTTCAGAAGCCAGGAGGCGGGATTTTAAGGTCATGTGACCGCCGGGATTCGCCGTCACGGTGGTCACATGATCGGGAAAGGTTCCGATCGAAAGAGTACCGGACATGTGTGCTGCGAGCTCGCTCTCAGCACATATGTCTTTCTTAATTGCACGCAAATGTGCGGCCGCTCGGCACCAATGTAAGGGTCAAAGTCAGTATATTTTGGGGAAGACTTTGTAAAAAGCATTTTTTAAATTATCATTAGTGTCAGAGTGTTTTAGGCAGGATTAAAAAACAAAATGCGCACTATTGTTTTTGGGCCCGACTACATCAACAGATAACATCCACATATGTGGTATCGCTGTGACCGTCAGGAGCAGGAGAATTTATTTTGGGTTGTTCTTTGGTGGTAAGTTACTGTAATAGCAAGAAATATGCAAAAATCTGGAGATATCCGTTATCATTTACCACCAAAAGAAAGCTGAGATTGTCCTGAAAAAAAAAAAAAACAATAAGGTATAATACACCTGGATACACTAAATCAGGGTTTCTCAACCAGGGTTCCATAGAACCCTAAAGCCGGCCATGCATGGGTCGAAAATCGACTGATTTTGTGTCCAAAAATCGGACCTAAGGAATCGGACGATTTTCGCTCTGTTAGTAGGGCAACGGCCGATTTTCGTGGTTCCTCCCCTTTTCGGTGATCGGGTTTGTTGGAAAATTTGTGAAAAACGACCGTTTTTCAACTCAATGATGGTCGAATCGTACGATCGATTTTTTTTCCGAAAAGAATACACGCATGAGCCGTGACCTGGAAGGAACAGAAGTTTCGCCTGTTATATGGGGTGAACTTTATGACTTGGTCGGCCGATTTTCAAAATCATTGATGGCGCCATCGGATTACCGAGCGAACGACGTTTCTGATTTTCAGCCGAAAATTTGTTTGGAATTCGAACCATGTATGGCCTGCATTAGATTCCTCCAAAGGCTGCTAGGGGTTCCTTCAGCACTTTCTGCCTCTCAGAGAAGTTCTCACTGACACCAAGATATTTTTAGCTATCTATAAGGGGGTAATTCTTCCCAATGACAACAAATGTAAGGAGCAGGGGCGAACTGACTATTTGGAAACTTGGGCACTTCCCGAGGGCCCGGGGTCAGTAGAGGGCCCATGAGATGCCCCTGGTACCTTTTTCATGTGCTTTTTTGAGTTTGGGCAAGGACACAGGGGCCCCATGATCCCCTATTGCCCGGGGCCCCATGAGTTGTCAGTCTGCCCCTGGTAAGGAGCATTCTTCCCACTGACCATCACACCAATGTATCATGAGTTGTAGATATAGTAACTATTAGCAGGGGTTCCCCGAGAATGGAAAGTTATTCAAAGGGTTCCTCCATGTTGAGAAGGTTGAGAATGGCTGTACTAAGTAGTTGTGATGATATGTACAGTTTTACTAACACATGTCAAAGTTGCAAAATTCAGGCATTAACATTTGTTTTACCCTCCAACACTAAGGAGATAAAGTAGTGCTCCGCCCAACATATAGCATTCATGGACAGAAATACATTTTGATAGGTCGTTCCAGAAATCCACTACACCACTGGTCCACGTGAAGAAGACAGAGTTCACTGTGGTGTAATGGGATGTTATTTTGCTCATAAACACGAGACATAGAGAAGTACAAAATACAGCAATTACAATAAAAACTCTGTGTCCCTTTGTAGAGATTTTCTCTTTTTTTCCTGCTGTATCTCTGGAAAATCTCTGCAAAGTGATGGGCCCATATTAGTTGTCACCAGAACAGGTGTCCCCATTGGAAGATTTTCTCCTTATTCCTGTCCTGGGGACAATTGGTTTGACTCTTCCATCGCTTTCTAAGTGCCAGTGCTGCCCAGGACAAATAGAGAAGGCAAATCTTTACCAAGGGAACAGAGGCAGCAATAACTCACCAGGGGTTCTAATTCCTCCCTCTACGAGGGGCGACTGAAAAGTTCTCAGCTTACCAATGAAAGGTTGTCGGGAGCTCAATCGTTCATGGCTATATTTCAACATAGTCCCCTTTCAGCGCCACATACTTTTGCTACCGGTTCTGCAGGCCCATTATTCCTTCTATGTAGAACGTTTCATCCTTCATGTCAAAAAACTCCTCCATCGCAGCCATAACATCATCATCTGATGGAAAGTGGGTACCAGCTAGAAGTTGCTTGAGCTTAGGGAACAGATGAAAGTCTGAGGGAGCCAAATCTGGCGAGTAGGGAGGGTGTGGAACGGGCGGACTGACAACTCATGGGGCCCCCGGTCAATAGGGGATCATGGGGCCCCTGTGTCCTTGCCCAAACTCAAAAAAGCCTATGAAAAGGTACCAGGGGCATCTCATGGGGCCCCCTACTGACCCTGGGCCCTCAGGCAGTGCCTGAGTTTCCAAATGGACTGGATGGACAAACATCCATCCAGTTCAACCATAAAAAAAAAAAAAAAAAAAGTTATAATCCTACACCCACAGTTGATCCAGAGGAAGGCAAAAAAACCCAGCAAAGCATGATCAAGTTTGCTCCTGCAGGGAAAAAATTCCTTCCTGATCCCTCGTGAGGCAATCGGATATTAATAATAGACTTTACTGTGCTTCTATGCATTGATAAAGCCCTTGAAAATGTTTTTTATCCATCTCCTGACCAGGGGCGGACTGACAACTCATGGGGCCCCTGGGCAATAGGGGATCATGGGGCCCCTGTGTCCTTCCCAAACTCAAAAAATCCTATGAAAAAGGTACCAGGGGCATCTCATGGGGCCCTCTACTGACCCTGGGCCCTCGGGCAGTGCCCAAGTTTCCAAATGGTCAGTCCGCCCCTGGTGTGGAAGTAGTTTGAAGTCACAAGACTCGATGGCCAACATTGCAATGGTGGACTTGTGCGCTGGTGCATTGTCTTGGTGGAAAAGGACACGCTTCTTCAACATTCCGTGGGGTTTCGCCTTAATGGCCTCCCGCAAACGCGTCAGTTGAGCAGCATAATACGCACCGTTCACAGTTTCACCCTTTAAAACATAAAATAAAAATGTTGGCTTTGCATACACTTTTGATTTGTGTTGGTAGTGCAGTCATACTGAGAGTGCGCTGAGAATGATCACAAGACTCTCTGTAACTTGAGTGACTTTTTTCCGAGTGCACAATGGCAGTCTGGGGGAGATCAGTGTATACACTTCCCTGCCTTTGGGGCAGGGAACGCTATTGTGATAGAAATAAGAGGAATTGCCTTTGCTGACTTTCCATTGAAGACGCCTAGGTGTCTACAGTACAGAAGACTACAGGTGTCTCATCATCTCACGCCTGGACTATTGCAACTCCCTCCTCACTGGCCTACCCAAACGAACACTATCCCCACTCCAGTCGATCCTAAACTCAGCGGCTAGACTCAACCACCTCACCAAGCGCTCCACATCCGCCTCCCCCCTCTGCCAATCCCTTCATTGGCTCCCGATTGCCCAATGCATCAAATTCAAACTGCTAACTCTGACCTACAAAGCCATTCAAAATGCCGCCCCGAACTACATAACTGACCTGATACCCAAATACTACCCTACCCGTGCCCTCCGCTCCTCACAGGACCTCCTACTCTCTAGCTCCCTGGTCTCCTCCTCCCACGCCTGACTGCAGGACTTCTCCAATCCTCTGGAACTCCCTACCCCAATCCATCAGACTGTCACCTACCCTCCTCACCTTCAGGCGCACCCTGAAAACACTCCTCTTCAGGGAAGCCTACCCCAACCTCACCTAACACCTGACCTCACCTAGCAACTAACCTCCTCCACTCCTCCCACCACTCCGTCCCCCACAGGCAACTCCTCCTGTACCACCTTCCCCTCCCTCCTAGATTGTAAGCTCGAAAGAGCAGGGCCCTCAAACCCCTCGTGTATTGTATTGTTACTGTCTTGTCTCATGTTCTCTCCCCCTCGCTACTGTACAGCGCTGAGCATACCCTTTGGCGCTATATAAATACTGTATAATAATATAATACAGTATGTGAGCCACACAACTGCAAAACAATCATGGAGCTGGTGAGGTCCAATTTCCTGATTTAAAAGCTTGTTCTGGGTCATTACAGCCAAGTAAATAGCATTTTCACGAGAAGGACAGCAATGCATTTTTAATCCAGGCCAAGAAGTAATTAGTTAGCACACTATAGCACATTTGTTAAAAAAAAAAGAAAAGAACTTTATTTATATGGATATGCAATTTTGTAGACTCCGATATTGAGATTATACAATTTTGTAGACTCTGATATTGAGATTATACAATTTTGTAGACTCTGATATTGAGATTATACAATTTTGTAGACTCTCATGTTCTCTCAAACACTTCTTTAAGATATACCAGCCTGTTTTGATATTGTTGACTATATCATTTGATAAAAATTCTATAAAATTATTGAAGTAAAAAAAAAAAAAAAACTGTACAAGATCTGCCCATGCACTGCACAATGGTGGTCCCACCAGTAGATTATGGACTACCCACTTTAAACTCAGGACTGTGCATTCATATCATGTTTTTGTGTGTTCCGTGGTGCCCAAGTGACTGTCAATTGTTCCCCGCCAGCATCCGGCAGCTGAAAGAACGTCTTAGCAGCCAGAGACAGAAACACGATCAGATCTACAACCAGAAGGTTGCCACCCTAGAAGCCCCAAAAGTCAACTGGAGCAAAGTCATAGATGACAAGATGGTAAGAAGCATGCGGTACACCAGTATTAGGCTATGTTTACCTGGGTTTCAGACTCTTACTAGAGGCGTAACTAGAACCTAAAAGGGCTCTGGTGTAAGGAACCATGAGAGCCCTCCTGACCCCCAGCTTGGGGCCCTTACATCTGAGCCAGGTGGCTGAAAAACCAGGGCCCAATTGCAAGTGCGACCTTTGCAACCCTGGTAGTTCTGCCACTGTGGTCAGTTTTTTTTTATTATTTTATTTTTTTTATTATTTTTTGCCATTTTGTTTTATTTTTACAAATATATTTTTTACAATATCTTAGGAGCCCCATTGGGGGGCTTTGTTGAGATATCAGGGGTCTAAACAGATCTGAAGTTTCACCTTTGAGACAGAGAAAGGAGATTGAGGACACAACCCTGAATCTCCATCTCTGCAGCCTCAGCAGCACAGAATGAATGGACAGAACTAGCTCTATACAGAGATTTCCGTTCATTCATAAACTGAAGCATAGTGAACACAGTTCACTATGCTTCAGTTATAAATGGACAGTCAGTGATCGGTACAGATCACTAACTCTGTTCATTCAAAAAAGGAAAGGGCTGGTGAATGGCATGACAGGGGGGGCTAGGGGATTACACAGAGGCCCCAGGGCAGCAGAAAGAAGAGGAAGCTGGATAGGAGGGGTGGTGGGGCAGCATATAGAAGTAAAGCTCCTCTCCATTTTCCTCCTACAGCCGCTGAATGCCTGTTGGGGGATCAGCTCTTCTATATGCTGCCCCTCCTATTCAGGTGTACAGGGGGCTGCATGGGGCCCCTGGGGCCAGGTAGCAATTGTGACCCCTGTACTTACACCCATGGCTCTTACCTTTTTTGTAATCGAAGCAGGGACTGGGAATGCAAAAACGAAAGCTCCAAAAGCAGAATGTGTAAAGTTCAGATTTAATGTTATTTAGACTCATGTCAAAAAAAGCCAGCCTGTGTCAGGAGTTCAGTGGCCCTTCATCAGGGCTTGGTACTATTAAATAAAATGTGTACTGCAGTGATCCTGAGGGGTGGTCTGATGATCGCTCTAGAAGCTGGCTTAACTTGTAACAGACTAATTACCCCTCAGAATTCTTCCAATGTTATCGGTCCAGTACACTTTGTTTGAAAGAGCAAGCCTTGATGAAAGAGGGGCCCTAACCCCCCAAAAACATGTTTGTTTCTTAAGACATAAGAGTTTGAATAAAACTGTCCCATAATACAAGCAGGGGAATTGCTAGACCTAGGCTTGTGGCCTTGGGTCTCCAGTTAAATGCCCCAGGTCTCAGGACTTTAGCCACTACTTCATAAGGTAGGTAGGAGTGCTAACTGCTTGTGTTGTATACAGGAGCGTACAGTATGGGTAAAAGTTTGTGTAACAGACATATACTGTAGACATCCCTCTGTGCTGCTCAACCTCTATAGTGTTGGGCAGGTACTAGTAGAGAAGAAGGGATGCTGTAGACCAAAAGGGGAGCAAACAGAGGGAAAATCTTAAGCGATAGGGGAACAAGAAAAGGAAAAGGACACTCTGCAACTTTCTCACCCTAGGTTGCCCAAAGGTGCTCTGTCTTTTGGATACTCAACACCCCTGAACAGGGGTGGACTGACACCATGGGGCTAGGTATGGGGCCCCTGTTTCCTTGCCCACACTCAAACCACACCCAAAAAAGCCTATGAAAGGTACCAGGGGCATCTCATGGGGCCCCCTACTGACCCCAGGCCTTCGTGGTGCCCGAGTGCCCGTTTGGTCAGTCCGCCCCTGCATATGAGAGAGACATAGAAAAGAAATGCAGTTCACAGTAAGGCTACACAACAACACCCCCCCCCCCAACCCCCTTAAGAAAGTATGTCCATGACATGTCACCAGCAAAAGGATGGACCACAAAACTTTCCTGTTTGTAACATACCATGTTCTTCTTGTTTCATCACAGGAACAGCTCAATGGTGCTGGCTTTGCCACAGACTTACCCAACCTGGAAAACCAGATTATGGAGCACAACATGTTTCACAATGAGATCAAAGCCCTGGGAGACCACATTAACAAAGACGGCGACAAGGTGGGTGTCAGTATTGAAGGCCTTTCAAGGTAATGTACAGTAGGTGCATGTCCATGTCACACTGACTGCTTTTATCTTCCGGCAGGACTACATCAGCGGACTGCAAGTCAAATATCAGAAACTCTTGGTAAGAACCAATTGCTTTGTGCTATTTTGACCATAGGCTTGATATACCATGGCCAGTAGTCATTTGTCGTCCTAGCACTTGGTGAAGATTTCTCAATGTCACTAGTCCAGTATTCTGGTTGTCCTTGGTAATACCAGTTGATTGCTACTAGTAGTGGCAACTGTTCTCTGCCCCTTTATTGGCACTAATGATTTGGTTTTTTAATACCACTGACTGGGGGGGGCCCTTCTTCAACACTAGTCATGTTACACTATACGGCCCAAAGTTTAGCGACACTTAACCACCACACTTATTTGAGCTTGTTGGACATCCCGTTTTAAAGCCATGGATATTAATATAGCATTGACCCCCTATTTACATCCTTTAACAGCCTCCACTCTTCTGAGATGGCTTTCCACAAGAGTTAGAAGTGTGTCTGTGGAAATTTGTGCCATCAAGCCAAAAAAGCATTTTTTGAGGTTGAGTGAGAAGACCTCTCACAACTGGTGTTCCAAAAGGTGTTTTAATGGAGTTGCAAAGGCCACTCGAGTTTCTCCACCTAAAAATCATCATGTTCTATGGAGCTGACTTTGCGCACAGAGACACAAGCAAGTTAAAGTAGAACAGAGCCTTCCCCAAACTAATACCACAAGGTTGGAAAAAAACAATTGTGTAAAATGTCTGTGTGATGTTGCATTAACAGTACCTTTCACTGGAAACATCTGAACTCAATCATTTTGAGGGGTGACCACATACTTTTCGCCATATTGTGTACCTTAGAGCTTTGGGATAGTGCTCTTTGTTGCCACTGGTTGTCCATTGTTAATAGTCCCTTACACATCTCTTCAGTGCCATTTATTTTAATTCACGCCCACTATCTGTTTCAGTTTTATGGGGGTTAGCAATCAAGTCTCCTCAATGCCATCATTTATGCCTTCTCAATACTAAAGCCCATACATCTTATTGCCTCTGGACCAGGGGCGGACTGACAACTCATGGGGCTCTCAGGCAATAGGGGATCATGGGGCCCCTGTGTCCTTGCCCACACTTAAACCACACCCAAAAAAGCCTATGAAAGGTACCAGGGGCATCTCATGGGGCCCCCTACTGACCCCGGGCCCTCAGGCAGTGCCCGTGTTCCCAAATGGTCAGTCCACCCCTGCTTTAGGCTTAACCCTTCCGTTACATTGATCATATTTTGTTGTTTTAGGGGAAAACTTTACTATTACTAATTGGCTCTAGTCCTTCAGGATCTCCAGTTGTGTTCTCGCATTTGGCTCCTTTGTGACAATCTCCCATTTTATGTTACAGAGTGCATCCCAGAAGCGCCAACGAGATTTAAACACCCTGCAGGATTACATGCAGCGCTGCACCAATGAGCTTTACTGGCTGGACCAACAGGAGAAGGAACGCATGGAGTATGACTGGAGCGACCGCAACACTGATTACATCAGCCGTAGGAGGCAATACGAGGTAGGTTGGGAGATCATAGTGAGACGTAAACCTCTCCAGTTAATGGAGCGGTTTACATGCCTGGTTTGTAACAGGTGCTTGTCCTAAAATAATGTCATATTATATTCTTCTTTAGAATAATGACCATTCCCTTTTTTCTTGTAGAACTTTATCCAGAGGAGCCTAGAAGCCAAAGAACATGAAATCAACAAGCTGCAGGAGGAGGGTGAAAAGTTGTTGACAGATGGGCACCCAGCAAAGATCCCAATAGAGGTAAAGATATTTCACAAACCTCAACACCAAACCAGCTCATGACTTATTGCAGCCTCTATTGCCCATGGGGTGCCTTAAAGTGTTACTAAACCCACAACAGTACAATCAGTCTGTATATGCAGTAAAGCATGCTTGTTGTACTCACTGTGGAACCTAAGGGGTTAATCCTCTGTATTGTGTAAAAATGCTGTTTGAGCCTGACCTCTCTGATCCTCCCCTTCTTCCAGCGCCCCCCTCTTATCTCCTGATAAGACATATAGTGTGGAGACGCACTGTACATGCTCAGTTTGGTGTGTATTGGTAGAGAGGTTTTTTTTTTTCTTGGAAGGGTGCATATGATCAGCACAGGCCATTAAGCAATTTCCAGACAGAGGTCAGGGGTTCTGCATCCTCCTAGAGCAGAAAGAATACTCCTTCTACAAGCTTTAACCAGTGCTATGCTGAACAGTAATAGAAGTCACAAGACTGCTATAACTCCTGATGAGAAAATGTATTTAGCAGTTTATATTTACTAAAATAATTGCATTTCCATGTTGTGTGTACTGTGGGAGACTAGATATAGTGAATGCAGGGTCCGGGGAGACCAGATATAGTGAGTGCGGGGTCCGGGGAGACCAGATATAGTGAGTGCGGGGTCCGGGGAGACCGGATATAGTGAGTGCAGGGTCCGGGGAGACCAGATATAGTGAATGCAGGGTCCGGGGAGACCAGATATAGTGAGTGCGGGGTCCGGGGAGACCAGATATAGTGAGTGCGGGGTCCGGGGAGACCAGATATAGTGAGTGCGGGGTCCTGGGAGAGACCAGATATAGTGAATGCAGGGTCCGGGGAGACCGGATATTGTGAATGCAGGGTCCGGGGAGACCGGATATAGTGAATGCAGGGTCCGGGGAGACCGGATGTAGTTAATGCAGGGTCCGGGGAGACCGGATGTAGTGAATGCAGGGTCCGGAGAGACCGGAAAATCGGCCAAGTCATAAAGTTCTCCCCATATAACAGGTGAAACTTTTGTTGCTTCCAGGTCACGGCTCATGCGCATATTCTTTTTGGAAAAACAATCGTATGATTTGACCATCATTGAGTCGAATCGGTCGTTTTTCACAAATTTTCCAACATGCCCAATCACCGAAAAGGGGAGGAACCATGAAAATCGGCCAGTGCCATTGACCCACTAACAGAGTGAAAAATGGCCAATTTATTCTTAGGTCCAATTTTCGGATGAAAAATCGGTCGAATTTCGGCCCATGTATGGCCGGCATTCGTACAGAATGTCTGCTGGATTGTACATTCCACCAACACCAGAAGAAAGTGGGAGAGCCAACTGAAGGAGCTACAAAGAGTCTAAACAGCTCCTGCACACCTTTCTCTTTAGGTTCTACCATAAAGCTTAGTACACATGATCAGAAAATCGTACGAAAAATACCAGTTTCGAAGCGATCGTATCTGATCGTTAGTACACAGCTTTCATCTGAAATTATTCGAAGGGACAAGCTTGAAAATTTTTCTCATACTATACCAGATAGTACGATTTTCGTTTAATCAGTACAATTTTTTTTCCGAACAAACAATACAATACATTGCTTCCTAATTCTTATTGTCATACAAGAGTTTTCATAACTTTAGTGACCTTCACTTTCGATGAGACTAGCATGCAAAAAAACCAAAAAAAAACAGACGATCATTCGTCCAAGATTCTCATCATGTGTGCGGGGCCTTAGATTGAGCCACAGCTGGCCACACAAGGCAAGAATCCATGAATAAAATGTGAATGTAAGTTATGAATGTTCTGCATTGTTGCTGCCTTTTTTTAGCTTTTCGGCCCTCTGAATAATGTGTCCCTTTTTAGGCTCACATGGATGCCGTACATGCAGATTGGAAAGAGTACCTGAACCTTCTGATATGTGAGGAGAGCCATCTGAAGTACATGGAGGATTTCCACCAGGTGAGATAGTCAGGCTGTACCTCTCATCTGTCCTTTTTTTAGGTGGGATTGTTCTGATTTTAGACACATGATGGTGACTTAAGCATAAATGGTCAAAGTGAGGGTGGCTGGAAGTGGGGGTTTTAAGTTCAGCTAAAATGATGTCCGTTTTTAGATATTTCTCTTGTGACACATCTTCTTGAAATGTTCAGACTTTAAAATGTGTGATTTTTAAGAATACAGGTTCCTCAAGTAACCAGATGGTCTAGCTGTAGGAGGTGTGATGGTCATACTGTAACTGTGACCATGCCATGGATGAGGGATAGGGCTGGGAGACCTTCAACTGGCCCAGATCTGCCAAAATTTAGATGGGAAGCCTACGTACCTTCTTAAGTTCATGTGCAAGACTCAGATATGGTTTTATAGCTAGGTAGACTTCAGGAGATCTCATAGAGTCTTATCTTTGTTCTTTCAGTTCAACAGAGATGCAAAGGATACCCAAGACCTGCTGAAGAAAGTGAACACTGACCTGGACCTCAAGTATAACCCGGACTTCAAAGACAAATACCAGGTTGAGGCACAGATGAGAGAGCTAGAGGTAGGAACACATCAAAGTTTGTCAGGATTTCCAAAGAAGCTGGAAACTGCTGTTGGCATTGCCATTGTGTAATACAGTCCACTTCTCAGTGAATAGAAATTTTAATTTCCAAATTTCACCTGGTGGTAAAATTTGGTATTACAGAATACATATCTGAAAATACGATTCGCTATGGATACAATTGTCTTTTTGAAGAAGCACTAAACAGCAGAAAGTTTAGGGTCCCTGTGCTGTTTAGTAGCAAGACTTCTAGCATGCATAATTCTAAATCCATGTTTAATCCTCTTATTGCTCTTGCTTCTAGGACCAGGACAAGGCTCTGGATAAGTATGAGGAAGTTGTGCGTTCTCTTCAGAATCGCAGTCACCAGGTCATGCCCTTGAAGTTCCGCAGGGAGACCCCACTTAAGCCCGTCCCAGTGGAGGCCCTGTGCGACTTTTACGCAGAAGAGGTAAATAATGTCCTCCCTGGTGTGTTGTACTGGAAGCCTCTGTTTTCCCAACAGTATGCAATGTTCTACCACTGTTGCAAAAATGCATACCTACTTTTTATGATTTTTTTTTTTGTAACATGTATCTATGATGAAATTTACATACTGACTTGGAGTTCATGTGCGTTGTGCTCTGCAGGGGGACATTAGCCGAGGAGGGCAGTACACTCTGAAGGCCAACAAGGGAGAGAAGTGGGAGGTCACGGACAGCAATGGGAAGAAGCTGGTTGCTCCAGGGGTATGCTTCAACATTCCCCCAACTGACCCTGAAGCTCTAGCGCTTGGAGAGAGGTAACTGATTGGATTATTATTATTATTATACAGGATTTATATAGCACCAACAGTTTGCTCAGCGCTTTACAATATAACGGGTGACAATACAGTTCAATACAAGAGGGTTAGGAGCAGGGGCGGACTGACAACTCATGGGGCCCCCGGGCAATAGGGGATCATGGGGCCCCTGTGTCCTTGCCCAAACTCAAAAAAGCCTATGAAAAAGGTACCAGGGGCATCTCATGGGGCCCCCTACTGACCCCGAGCCCTCAGGCAGTGCCTGAGTTTCCAAATGTTCAGTCCGCCCCTGGTTAGGAGGGCCCTGCTCCTTGGAGCTTACAATCTAAGAGATTCTATACTTACTAAAGATTATAGCTTTTTAATACGTCCAGGGACAACAAGCAACTTTGCATACGATACTTTTGATTTTCTTTCTGTGGGCTCTGAGAGCTGCCATAAGCACAGCCCCATATAAACATTGCATGGTTTACACTCAGACCTCTGCAGTCCTGGACTGACAGCAAACTGGTCATCAGGGTTCTAGATGTGGACTTTAAGGGGTCTATTTACTAAAGCTGGTTCACTCAGAATCTCGTGCACTTCTGCATAGAAACCAATCAGCGGCCAGGTTGTATTGCTAAAGCTTAATTGGACAAGCTGAGGTTAGAAGCTGATTGGCTACCATGCACAGATGCACCAGATACTGAGTGGACCAGCTTTAGTAAATAAACCCCTAAGTGTCTTTGGGTTAACAAAAGAACAATATGCTTCTGTTTTTTTTCAAAATTTTCTTAAGTCAGGAACCATTAATGAAGATTTTCATATTGCATCACTAAAAAGCAAGGTATCACTAACGAAACGGCTTACTGGCCTCTGAAAGAAGGCAGCCCCGAGCAGGGGCGGACTGACAACTCATGGGGACCCCGGGCAATAGGGGATCATGGGGCCCCTGTGTCCTTGCCCAAACTCAAAAAAGCCTATGAAAAAGGTAGCAGGGGCATCTCATGGGGCCCCCTACTGACCCCGGGCCCTCGGGCAGTGCCAGAGTTTCCAAATGGTCAGTCTGCCCCTGGCCCCAAGTTAAACCATGCCCATGTAATTCCCCACCAACCAAATATTGAGAGCAGAATGCACATCTAGGGGGACTCTAATATGTTCTTGTTCCCAGTCCTATGCTGCAAATGTATCTCTCCTCAATACACAGTACAGAGTGCAGGCAGTCTGGATATAAACAATGCAGTCATTCTTAAAATGGCTTTCTGCTCAATTCCAATGGAAACTAAGCAAAAGAAATATCAGAGTTGTTCCAGCCCTTCCCTACACCATGGACTCCTTACTGTTCCAAATAATTTTAAGGCCCCATGTACACGTGAACTCCCCTAGACTTTTAGCTCTCTTGGCAGCAGAAAAACGCTAAACTCTGGAAAAAAACGTGTAAACTTGGTGCCGTGTTCAGCCACATTTAGCGCTTGGACATTTATTCATTTGATTGCCCAGAGTATTTTCCATTGATGTGAATAAACGCCCAAGTGCTAAACACAGCTGGCATTTAGATGCGTTTTTGCCATGTTTTAGCGTTTCTTGGCCACAACGTTCCTCTCCTGAACACAATTCTTCTCTGTTCAGGAGAGGAACATTTAACTGCCCCTAAACTCTGCTCCTCCTACCTGTACTTGGACACATAGGCTCTGTACAGCCATGTACAAGAGGCCTAAGATGGGGCTCCTATTTCACTAACGCTTTCCTCTTTTGGTTAGCATCTTCAACCAGTACCGAACCACAAAGCAGAAAGCATCTAGCAGCAAGAATGCTCTTCTTCAGCGCCTTGAAGACGTGAAGCGAGAATCATCAGGTATGTTACTGACGAGATATATTTAGGTTTGTAGGGACTGACGCTACTTGCTTAAGAGACCATGCAGAAGCAGCAGCAATCACCGGTTCTATCCTCCCGCAGACAGCACCAGCTCCATGTTTTTCATAGCTGGGAATTGTGTGAAAGCATGCAGAAGTGCAGACATAGTTACATAGGTAGTCTGGCTGAAAAAGACAAAAGTCCATCCAGTTCAGCCATTAAAAAAAAAAATTATAATCCTATACCCACAGTTGATCTAGAAGAAGGCAAAAAAAAAACCCCAGCAAAGCACGATCCAATTTGTTTCTGTAGGGGATAAAATTCCTTCCTGATCCCCCGAGAGGCAATCGGATATTCCCTAGATCAACTTTACCAAATGACATGATGGTCCTCCAGCTTTATACTACCGATAGTTCCTTCAAGGCACCACCTTCATGGTTCCAGTAGTGGGGAATATAAGAAAGCATGCAGAAGTGCAGTCATAATGCTTCACCAGTTTTATCCTCCTGCAAGATAAATATCTGACTGCAAGGCACTAATTTGGAAAATAATGGAAAAGCTTTGAAGGTTCACCATTGTTTTCCTTCTACAGGATAGTCATAGCTGTTTTACTTTCCTCTCCTGAATGACTGGTATTTTAATCCATCACCTTTATTTCATGAAGTAACCTATGTTCTATATTATAAATACAGTCTCAAAGATTATTGATGCATTTTTAATTAGTGGATGTTACAATCTGTGTCTACAGTTTTATGAACCATCTTGCACTTGCGTTAGGTCAGTGTTTCTCAACTCCAGTCCTCATGGACCCCCAACAGGTCATGTTTTCAGGATTTCCATTATTTTGCACAGGTGATTTGATCAGTTTCACTGCCTTAGTAATTACCACAGCGGTTTCATCTGAGGGAAATCCTGAAAACATGACCTGTTGTGGGTCCATGAGGACTGGAGTTGAGAAACACTGCGTTAGGCCAATGAAAGTCTAAACTGGTTGTAGAATGTTGCTCACAGTTCATGTCCACTGATATATAATCTGTATTTTGGCAGTAGTAACAACTGTAACTTATCTGCAGATCAAAGATGGTACAGGAAAAACTAGAAGCTAGCTGCCAGTGCCTGGGGTTGTCCAAGGTGAACACAAAATATTTTCCACAACAACCTAACTCTGCATCCAACTCTTCCACAAGAGGTCTTTATTATTGTGATTCAGAGAACGATGTTCACCAACCATATTTAAGATTTCTTCAGTGTAGCTAAAGGCGCTTACAGTTGTATGAGTGAGTTGATCTGTCTGTGAAGGCTTTCCCAGATGTCTCCTGCCTGACCCTGCTCTGAGGACCCATTAATTAGCCCATTAATGTTCCTCCAACACCAAGATAACTGGCATGCAGAGCATCTTCCACTTCCTACCTTGGTATAGGCACAAACCTGACTGGAGACTCTAAATACAACCAGCCAGAGATCATATATAACTTGGGAGCCCTTAAACCACAGAGTCATCGGCATGTAATGCCCTGGGTTTAGCCCTTCCACCAAGCACACCTATTTATTGTATAAGAAAATACAGTCTACACAGGATTACAACCAATATTCTACTTACGATTTAATTTCAGCTTCCACCAATGCCCAGGAGACACAGGGGCGACAGCTGCTAGCCGGACTGGACAAAGTCTTCTCTGATTTGGACAGACAGGAGAAAGCCATCAGTTCCCACCTCCGGCCACCACTGGATCAGAATCGTGCTGTACAGGACAGCTCGGAGAGGATAAAGGAACTTAAGGTGAGTGTATTTAAGAAACCCATATGGCCTTAGTGGTTAGCAGTGTGACCTGGTACCATTGAGCCTCTGGGTGTGTGTGTGTGTGTGGTTTTAAATTGCATTCAGTGAAGGAAATGCGTATTTGCTCCCCTGATGATTTTAAATGTTTGCCCACTCACAAGGAAATGAACAGTCTAAAAATCGAATGGTAGGTATATTGTAACAGTGAGAGACAGAACAGCAACAAAAAATTCAAAAGAAATGCATGTCTAACAAATGATGCACTGATTTGTATGTTCATGAGGAAATAAGTATTTGATCCCCTGTATGAGAAATGTAAAAAAAGTATGCAGCGCTAATAATAAATGATATTAATAAAAATGAAGAATCAGATAAATAATTGCACAATAAATATCTCAGTCCATATTAAGTGGTAAAGCAAAATGATTATGTGCAAGTGTTCAAAAAATCCATGATCAAGGATAACTGTGACTCTTGTGTTCTTGTGAATGTACAAACATTGCACTAACCAGATAGCGCATTAACTGCGCGTGGAGCAAGTTAAGACCCGCTCCTGGTGCTCTGGACTTGTGATACCAGGAAGATGTCATCAGTCTAGGTGTATTCTTAAGCCATCCACCAGGACAATCACCAGCGGGGGAGGGGAAGTCACACATCACTCCAAGTCATCAGGAACCTTCAAAAGCGGGCTCCCATGGAAATGATGAGCCCCAAGAAAGCTTCTAATAGTGTAGTAGATCTTTAATTAGCAAAATTCCAGCATATACAGATTAAAATAAAACTTACATCCAGATCTGATCTGGCCACCATGGTGTCAGTCAGGATAGCCTTGCGGGATATGTACACAGGTCAGGGGCACCTCCTTAACGCGTTTCGTGTAAATAACACTTCCTCAGAGGGGCTATAAGTATTTGATCCCCTATCATTCAGCAGTATTTGTGGCTACCAGGTGTCTTTTAAAGGGAGTGCTGCTAATCTCTATTTGTTACCTGTATAAAAAAAGACACCTCTCCACAGGAGCAATCAAACAATCAGATTTCAAACTCTCCACCATGGCAAAGACCAAAGAGCTGTCCAAGGATGTCAGGGACAAGATTGTAGACCTACACAAGGCTGGACTGGGCTACAAAATTATCGCCAAGCAGCTTGGTGAGAAGGTGACAACAGTTGGTGCAATCATTCGCAAATGGAAGAAACACAAAACAACTGTCAGTCTCCCTAGGTCTGGTGCACCATGCAAGATCTCACCTCGTGGAGTGTCAATGATCATGAGAACAGTGAGGAATCATCTCAGAACTACACGTGAGGATCTTGTCAATGGTCTCCAGGCAGCTGGGTACCTACCCCAGCTTGTACAACTATCACCTACTCTGTCCACATTTAGATGCTCCTTCTCTTTAGAGAAGCCTATCCTGCCTCCACCTAACAACTGTACAGTACTTTTATTTTCTCCATCAGCTCATCCCCACAGTTATTACCTTTTGCATCACTTGACCTTCCCTTTAGATTGTAAGGTCTTATGAGCAGAGCCATCTGATTCCTCCTGTATTGTAACTGAACTGTCTGCCCTCATGTTGTAAAGCGCTGAGGGGCTAATCAAATTCTGTATTATAGTAATATTAAAGATATAAAACCCGGGAATAAAAAGTGTGATCTATCACAGCTTTATTAGTTCTTAGATGTGGTGAATGCATTAGTTTCCTTTTTGCAAGCTAAGAGCAAGTACAGAAAATACCCATTGATCTTACCAGACATGCCATGTCCGTTTCTGTGATGTGAACTGGAATTACAAGCTATTTTCTGTAAACTATTAATTGCCCCTACTCCCCATGTTGTGGAGGGGAAAACAGGAAAATGTGCATGTAGTCCAAATCAGGAGAGCAGCCGCAAGTGGCAACCGTGGTTCCTCTATACACCCTGTTCCAAATTATTATGCAAATGATATTTTTCTCATTTACCTAAATAATCGATGTAAATAACAGTCAGCATAATTCTCATGTTATCAACTATAAGAGTACAATTCAAATTTTATTGAACAAACCTCCTAATAATAACAGGATTTTTGTTCCAAATTATTCCGCACAGGAAGTTTCAAAACACTTTATAGGTTGTAAAGAACTGAAAATTGTCATTTGTTTGTATTTGCAGCATATTTACTGAAATCAAAAGCTATTTCAATCAAACTTTTAACAACATTTTAATTTTTTAAACATTTTAACAGGTCACGTTACATTGTAACATAGGACCCCTTATTTGATAGCAGATCACAAGTCTTGCATCCATTGAACTTGTGAGTTTTTGGACAGTTTCTGCTTGAATTTGTTTGCAAGATGTCAGAATAGCCTCCCAGAGCTGCTGTTTGGATGTAAACTGCCTCCCACCCTCATAGATCTTTTGCTTGAGGATGCTCCAAAGGTTCTCAATAGGATTGCAGTCAGGGGAGGATGGAGGCCACACCATGACTTTCTCTCCTTTTATCCCCATAGCAAGCCATTGATGCAGAGGTATTCTTTGCAGCATGAGATGGTGCATTGTCATGCATGAAGATGATTTTATTACGGAAAGCATAGTTCTTTCTTCTGTACCAGGGAAGAAAGTGGTCAGTCATAAACTCCACATACTTTGCAGAGGTCATCTTTACACCTTCGAGGACCCTAAAGGGGCTGAGCAGCTCTGTTCCCATGATTCCGGCCCAAAACATGACTCCACCACCGCCTTGCTGACGTCGCAGCCTTGTTGGAACAGGGGGCCGTCCACCAACCATCCACTACTCCATCCATCTGGACCATCCAGGGTTGCACGGCCCTCATCAGTGAACAGGACTGTTTGAAAATTAGTCTTCATGTATTTTTCTGCCCAATGCAGCCATTTCTGCTTGTGAGCATTGGTTAGTGGTGGCCGAATAGAAGGTTTATGAACAGTTGCAAGACTCTGGAGGACTCTACACCCTGATGTCCGTGGGACTCCAGAGTCACCAGCAGCTTCAAATATCTGTTTGCTGCTATGTAATGGTATTTTAGCAGCTGCTCTCTTGATCCGATGCATGGATCTGGCAGAAATCTTCCTCAATGTGCCTTTATCTGCACGAACCCATCTGTGCTCTGAATCAGCCACAAATCTAATAGTGCGATGATCACGCTTACGTTTTCGTGAAATATCTAATGTTTTCATACCTCGTCCAAGGCATTGAACTATTTCACTCTTTTCAGCAGCAGAGAGATCCTTTTTCTTCCACATTATTAAGCAGAGCACCATTTTCAAGCAATATGGTGAACACCCTCCTTTAGTAGTTTTTCCTTAAATTGGGCTCACTTGCCAATCTAATTATCACAGGTGTCCGAGATTGTTTTCAGTGATCAAAAGAGCCCTGACACACAATGCCATCCATGAGTTAAACTGAAAAAAAACAAAATATTTAATCTTTGTGACACTTAAAAAGAATTTGCATCATAATTTGGAACAGGGTGTAGAAGACAGTACAGTGAGTGATGTCTCCTAGGTTAGGAATTGTGTAACTGCAAGTCACCAGGTGCAAAGTAAGGGAAAGGCTCTGAAAGAGAAAGCGAATGCAACCACTACATCAAGGACAAGTAAGATGCAATTTATTACACTTTTGTTTTTGAGTTTAGCTACATTGCTGATAGCAGTACAAAATGGCTCCCCAAGGTGATTCTTTTTGGGTCTCCTTACAGCGCTGTCTATATAAATGGTAGATTAGGTATTTTGCATGTAATCCACTGTAGTTTTGACAAACTAGAATTCCTGTTGCTAAATTCTAACATCTTTTCTTTCTTTGCAGAATATCGCCAATAATGTACGTCGAATAGAGCCAGAGAAAACTAATAAGGTGCAGGAGTGTGAGGTTTATCTGTCCAAATCTCCAGAGGTTTCCAGCACACCCGTCCTGCGCAGCAAAATCAATGAAACCAACAAAAAATATGACAAGGTCAACGAGCTTCTGAACTGCTCCCAAGAAAAGTAAGAGACCACCAAGGTTAACTTAAATCCTTCCAATCGTGTATATAAATCTAAATTCAACATTTCCTCTTTTGGAATAACTGTTTGCATTCCAACAGTATCACTAGGAGGCATCTGGGATCCTATTAGAGTAAAGTTGGACATTGATGGTTCAGCAGAGACCAGTCGAAGATTCAAACCATCTCTGGGCAGGCTTCTTATACCCAATTCGATTGTTGTACAACTTGGGTACAACCAGCCTGTCAGATGTTTTCATATAGCTGATAATATTGCCAGCTAGCTATAGCCGCTGGCAGCAGAATTGAATGCAACCCACAGGAAAGGTGTCCTGTGTTCCCAGCATCAATCAGGGAATTGGCTCACTAGTTGGCCTCCTTCTGACCTGACCTGCTTTTAACCACTTGCCCCAACTCAGCCTATTACCCTTTGAATGACAAGCATGGAGAATTTTTTACCACAATAGCTCCGCTGGTCCAAAAAGGATTCATCAACACTAACGTTATCTTTTTGTTGATAGGAGGAATTGAGCAGTTTTCTTTTTCTAAAAGCAATCATTTCTCCTTCTCTCTGGCTGCACACCATTATCAGTCTATGGTCAGCTTAAGGACCTGTGTTCATGGGCTTTGTGGCTTGATGTTGATAGCATCAATCAGAATTCACAGCAAGTTCACGGTGTTTCACTGCAGTTGGCCTCCTTCTGACCTGAATTTGACCTGCTTTTAATGGATTCTGCATCCCCATTGACTTTTTTATGGGAATGCAAAACCCATCTGAAGTGAGCCGAAGTTTGTCCCACACACAGGCCCTAATGCTTTCATGCATGGCTATGTCCTACTAGTTTTGAGTGGATTCCCCGCACTTCATAATGCCCTTGGAACTGAGCATTGTTCTCCAATTTGTTATTTTTTTCTATAGAAGGAATAGGTTATTTTAGAGGTTATATGTCATCTCAGATACCCCTTTTCATTTCAAAACCACAGTCGTCAGGGTCATATCTACAAATCTCTAGTGATAGTAAGACTTCTTTATAACATGGTTGTGTCTTGCAGGATTGAGGCAGCCAATCGTTTAGAAGGCAGCTTGCAGAAAAGCAGAGACCTCCTGTCCACCTACGAGAACAAGCTGTGCCTGGATGACACTGTACCCGAGGATCCACGTGCTGTGGACAATAAGCTGACGGAATTGTCGGTGAGCAATTGCTGTAGGAAAGAAAAGCGAATTCTTGAAATGTACAGTAACCATAGGCAGGAATTATTAAAAGACGCTGATAATCTTTTAAAGATTCAGTACATTATGGTATTCACGTAATCCAGTCCTACCACTTTCTTTTATCAAGCAAAATACCCTACCTTGGTCAAGGACCTTTCTGGCCTTCTCACTTCTTGGACCCTCTTTCAGATATCTTCCATTTCCTTCGCATGACGTACTTACCAAAGCTCTTATATTCCCTTCCATTTTCTACACCGAATCATATTTTATGTATTGAGCAGTGCAAGGTGCTTCGTTTTGTTTCCATCATAGGCCAAGGTTGCCCACATCCGCTTGTACTGTAGGAGAGTGGCAGGAGGCCTTGCAGTCCCTAACCTCAAATTGTATCCTGTTGCTACACAAATCACACTCCCTCTGGTGAGATGCCCACCTGGCAGTTGTGGACTTCTCACCATTCCCGGTCCACAACCTCTTTTGGATTCCACCCCAGAACAGAACCAATCTTTCAGATCCATTACATTCGATGCGTTTGTGGGATTCCGTGAAATTTTCAGCCTGCTTGATCTCTCCCATTTTGCCCGTCAGGTTTCCTTGACGCCCCCCCCCAATTCCTACTGGCCTATGAAAACCCGGCAGCATTCTGTTTGTGGCGGGAAAGGGGTATCAAATATATATACAAGCTCCTGTCATTGGTCGATTTTAAATCTTTCCAATATTTACAAGAGCATTGGCAAATCCCTGCCACCGAGATACTCTAATATACTCAAATACGCCACTAGATTAATTCTCCCCTTAAGCATGAATTGGACTCCCTCCAAATGCCTGACCCCTTTTAAAACACAAGTGTTGTAAAGACCCAACTTTGATGGTTCTCTAACAAACTCTATGGGGCCTTGCACACTTTCCTATGTCTCCAAATGGGAAACTAACCTAGGTAAGACCCTGGATCAAGCTGCCTGGAATAAAATTTGTCTAGACTCTTTGAGATGTTCTCAAAATACTTTTGCTCAGGAGAATGCCTATAAGCTACTCTCCCACTGGTACGTGACCCAGTGCGAGTACCCAAGTTTCTCCCTTCCATGTCTACCTTTTGTTTTCGGGGATGCAAGGAACCTGGTATTTGCCTTATATCTGGTGGTCCTGCCTGAAAGCTCTGCGATTCTGGACCCAGGTCTATTCCGATTAGATCACTTCTGAATCTTTCACTAGTACACAACCCCTGGGAAGCCCTGTTGCACAAATCTATCCTGTCCTTGACCAGGGCTCAGAGGAAGTTGGTGGGTTTGTCTTCCTGGCAGCTTGGCCCCTAGCTAAGGTCTGGTGCCAACCATTTCTTAATTCTGCTGAGGTCAAACAGCATCTCATGGGAACTATGGTTCATGAGAAGATCACAACCACGCCTTGTTATCTATATGATTGCTAGGGAGGTTCATTGTGTGGCAGTACAGTAGATTGGACAGCATAGGAATATCCTCCCCAGGCAAGTTTACTTTCCTCTCTCTCCCCACCCCACCTCTTCTTACTGCTGGATCTAGATCATTTCTAGTCTCGTTCATAACTTGTGAAGATACATTGTGCATTGCCTTTATCTCCCAGACTTGTTACTGTGTGGCGACCTCCACTATTCAATTTCTCTTTTTGTTAGTATACCTGTTCACCTACGTACAATGATTTGTACCTTTAGTCCTCAAAATTGTATGTTAGTGCAAATAAAAAAAGTATCACGGACAGTACTCAATAGTTTCTGTACCTTTTGTAACAAATCTTGAAAAACCCAATAAAAAATTTGTGAAATAAAGATTCTCTACATTTGCCCAACATGCTTTAGAATGTATCTTAACATTTTCATGTCCACCCCTCATGCCCATATTTCCAACTCCAAAAGTTAATTCTTTTTGCGTTTACTAGTACAGGATTAAGGTTTTGGATATTTATCACCTCCGCTTCTTCTTCATTCCAGGCGATGAGCTCTGAACTGCAGAAAGGAAGAGGTGTCCTTGCAGAAGCTGAGCAGAATCTGCACAACAGTAAATTATTCTGCCACAATATGGCCAATCGTTTCCAGGAGCATTGTCCCGATGTAGAGCGCCAGGAGGCTGAAGTGTCTAAACTCAACCAACGCTATACACAGCTGGACCAGCAAATTCAGAGCAGGTGAGCTGTGCTCCAGTGTCTGTTTATATGTTGGTTCTCTGATGAATATAAATTAAACACTTAAAAAGTGAAAATTGACAACTCTGTGCTTCCCAATCCGGAACCATATTGAAATCAATGGGAGCTGAAAATGCCCCATTTGCCTTGGCTAATAGGCAAAGGGGTGTAAAAAAAATAGCATGGGGGATGGGTACTGTCCTGGAGAACATGTACCAATGCAAAAAATATTTTTAAATTCCATTTGACCAGGAGCAGTGCTTCTTTTTTTTTTTTTTTTTTTTAAAAAAAGAAAACTTAAAGTGAAATGCTCAATTCAAATAACCTGCCCGGGGGTGCTCTATTCCTGCCTGTGAAGGGGTGCATCTCTGTGATATGCAGAACACAGCAGCCCTGAAATTTACAAAGAAAAAAAAGTGTTTAAAAAGGTTATGACAAATGACTTTTGTTTCACAGATTTTTATAAAACGTAAAAAAAAAAAAAAAAAAACAGCACACAGGGTCTGCCATGTATTCTGGGGTACATTTGAAGGGGTCTGCGATGTCACCTACAAAAGATACCCAAACATTTGACAAGTCCTTTTTAAATAAAACCCAACAAATGGCCCTCGTGGTAAAACCATTGTCAATCATGATGTCTCCTGCCAACCAACACACTGAACCACATGGCGCACACGAATGATCCCGATGCTCCCCAAACTGTTGTCAGCTAGTTAAGGAAAGAGGCAGGGATATTGGTGACATCATTATTGCCCAAATAAGCCAAGTAGCCATATTTAAGCAATGTAATAACCCTCTCCCCCAACATTTCTTTGCTTACAAGGCCAGGGATACCCAGCCATGTAAGTGAATCGGCCGAGTGATGTCAGTGGTGGGAAGGACAGGTACAAGAACCCATGCTTCCATAGCAACCATTGACAGCCAGAAGCTGCCATGTTTATCCACTCCCATGCCATGACAACCATTGACAGCCAGAAGCTGCCATGTTTATCCACTCCGAATGCCATAACAACCATTGACAGTCAGAAGCTGCCATGTTTATCCACTCCGAATGCCATGACAACCATTGACAGCCAGAAGCTGCCATGTTTATCCACTCCGAATGCCATGACAACCATTGACAGCCAGAAGCTGCCATGTTTATCCACTCCGAATGCCATGACAACCATTGACAGCCAGAAGCTGCCATGTTTATCCACTCCAAGTGCCATGACAACCATTGACAGCCAGAAGCTGCCATGTTTATCCACTCCGAATGCCATGACAACCATTGACAGTCAGAAGCTGCCATGTTTATCCACTCCCGAATGCCATGACAACCATTGACAGCCAGAAGCTGCCATGTTTATCCACTCCGAATGCCATAACAACCATTGACAGCCAGAAGCTGCCATGTTTATCCACTCCGAATGCCATAAATGTCCAGCCAGTGTACAGTCTGAACTTGCGCTCATATCACAACCGGAGCTTATCCCTATTCCCAAAGCTCCAAATCTACTTCAGTATTCCAAATCTTCCTTACCTCTTTCATCTATCCCTCCTTTAAAGCTGGCCGTAGACATCAGTAAACAGTTGGATGTGCATGTTTGATCTGTTTTTTGACCCACCTTTTCCACTGACAGGCCTGCTGTGATTGCATGAGCTATCCTGTTTAGGCAATGGAAGAAGAGGTGTGCATGTAGAGTCCACTGTTGGGGGTAACAACAGGTGTTAGTAAGAATAAGCGACATTGATCGTTTTACCTAAATTTTCAGCATACATTTTTGGCAACATTTCACCTTTTTTTGGCAAATGAATTGGATTCAATGCGGAAGAGGAAGGTAAAGTGTTTTTTAGGGGTATGAGTGGCTTTAAGTGGCTCTTCAAAGTTACAGAAGCTCTTTCCAGCTATCCTGGATCTCTTCTTGTGCCAAGAACATTTTTAGGAGAATCTCATTGAGCTAAATAAGGAGACTCTACTTTGGAAAATATTGTGCTCATAGCGAAACCAGTCATTCCACTCATCTATAGTGATCTGATGTTTTGAAAGGGTTAGTTCACCTTTACCAAAAAGCTGATAGGGGATGTCTGTAGATGAAAAACTGTGCCGCTTTGACCAAAGTTGACTATTGCCCTTGATATAGGTGTAGGCCATTATACAACTATAGTCAAAGCTGCACAGTTTGTTTTTTATTTGCAGACGTCCCTTAATCTGCATTGGCAGTTTTTTTAGTAAGGCCCCATGTACACGGGACAATTCTGAACGATGGAAACTGACTGCTGGAAAACATAGGTTAAGAAAACAACGTCTGGTTAGCTGCGTTTGCATAACACGTTTATGCGCATTTGCGTTTAGAAGCGTTTTTTTTTAAAGAAGAACCTCCCAAATGCCCAGAAAAGTGGTAAATTATTAACGATTTCAGAGCAATACAGAGAGTAGAAGCAGAGACAGCAGTATGTGTTGAGATAATTAGGTGTGAGTTGCTCATTAACATTTCTTTTGTTTCCAAGGGTGGGAAAAGTGCTTGGTGGAGTAATTAAGGCCACCTGGCAGGGAGTCTTCCTGAGGAATTTGAGGTGTGAATGGGCATTAACATATCTTTTGTTTCCAAGGGTGGGAGAGGTCTGAGGTGTGAATTGGTCATTACAATGTGTGACCTGCTTGGTGGGAACATCCTGTGTTCAGTGTTTTGTCCATCTGAGTACCTTGAAAATGCTTTGCATGCATTTTTCATGATAAAAAAAGGCTCTGAACAGCATCGGGAACTGGAAGAGTTAAAAAAAAAAAAATTGCAAATGCTTATAAAAGTGATTTGCTGCATTTACAAGCGTTTTGCATTTGAAACACTGATAAAATTGACTGCTGAACGCAAGTTTTTGGCTTTCAAAAAAACAACTGTAAACTCAAATGCCTGCAAACAACTGTAAACAAAGATGTGTACATGGACACATAGGAAAACATTAGGGAGAGTTCAGGGGCTGCTGATAAAAACCCGCTGAACAGTTCCTGAACGTGAGTTTATCAGCTGCAGTGTACATGAGCCCTAAAGGTGAACTAACCCTTTGACTTGCCTGATCTCTTTGACCCCATATACCCCATAGTATACTCATTTTGAAGCTGCTTTACAACTACATTGTCCAATTTAGATGAAGCAAGACTGTTCATTGCTACCTATGGTCACCTTTTTCTTGAAAGAGTTCAAATTGCTAGTATTTGTGTATGCTATTGTGATTAGCCTCCATGTTCTCGCTTCGTAAAGCATTGTAGAAGAGATTTGTAAGATAAAAACCAATAATAAAAATTGTAATAAAAAAAGTATGCAGCATATTCAAGCTTACATGTCTTCATTTAGGTCTCAGGGCTTGCAGAAAGCCAGGACTACCTATCTGAACTACCGCAATGGCTACGACCAAGTTGACGGGTGGATGCGTAATATTCCCAACTACGAGCCCAAAGACACAGACAGCGTCAAACAAGTGGAAACCAAACTGAAGAACCAACGGGTAAAATATTCTGGATGGAAAATATTTTCATGACAGCCAACTTAGTCTTCTAAAAATATTTGGAACAGCTTATCAAATCGCATGTTTGAGTTGTTACCCCGGGGAGCTTAAACATTTAGCACATGTTTGTTAAGTTACAAAGACTATCAAAAGGAACTTTGAGGTTGGTTTTCTAAAACTGGTGCACTCAGAAGCGGATTGGCTACCATGCACAGTTGCACCAGATTCTAACTTCAGCTTGTTCAATTAAACTTTGACAATACCACCTGGAAGCGGATTGGTTTCTATGCAGAGCTGCACCAGGCAGTTTTAGTAAATAACACAATTTGTGTAGCCCATAGCAAGGGATTGGGCTTCACTGCAAATTTATGAAAACCGGTGTTGCCAATACGAAGCACTTACAAGCAGAGAGGTTATGATAGGAAACAATAGGTGAGGCCACTCAGACAAAAGAATTCTATGACAATGTGTTGGGCAGCACAGTGGCTAAAACCACTTCTGCCTGGCAGTACTAGGATCGCCGGTTCAAATCCCAACCACGCACCACCTGCCTAGAGTTTGCATGTTCTCCCCTGTGCCTGCGTGGGTTTCCTCCGGGTACTCCAGTTTCCTCCTACAGTCCAAAGACATGCTGGTAGGTGAATTGGCTCCTGTCTAAATTGGCCCTAATATGTGTATGTATGAATGTGAGTTAGGGACCTTTAGATTGTACGCCCCTTGAGGGTTAGGGACTTTAGATTGTACGCCCCTTGAGGGTTAGGGACCTTAGATTGTACGCTCCTTGAGGGTTAGGGACCTTAGATTGTACGCTCCTTGAGGGTTAGGGACTGATGTGAATGTACAATATATATGTGTAAAGCGCTGTGTAAATTGATGGCGCTATATAAGTACCTGAAATAAATGTGTTAACAAGCGTTTTGTGAATTTGCTTTTGTCTTCTGGCAGCTTCTACTGAGTGAGATAACTGACCGAGAGCAAGATCTGGATCATGTGACCAGCAACGCACAGCAATATCAGCAAGCAGTCAAGGTAAATAAGCAGTTGTATGGAAAAATATTTTTAACCCTGCAGCTTGGTAGGCAGTTTTACTTCATAAAAAAAAAAATTACTTATAGCGTATCTAAACTCAAAAACAAAAATTTATTTCAGCTTAGTAGTCCTTAGATGTTGGTGCTGCATTAGTTTTATTTTTTTTGGCTCTTTTTCCTTTTATATTTACCCGGTGATCTGATCAGTACGTCTGATTTTTCATCTTCTTTTAAAATACGATTTCTAGCAAAAATGGCAGTTAGAGGGTTGTTAGCTTTATTAATTAGTTAAAACTTATATTTTGTTTTCTTTTAAGATAAATCTTTGTAACTGATAAAAAGTGTTAGCTGCAGTTATGCTTTACCCGGTTATTCCTCTATGGAAAGTCCCTCTAAATCTACTAGTCAGTCTAACACGGACTAATGCTGCTGTCCAAGAGTGTGTCTGTTGCACCTCCATAGATAGGAGTCAACCTAAGACAGGAAGTGTGCTAGGGGGTAGATCACCTGTGAAAATAAGGCCTCGTTCACACAGGCGTATTTAAGCACATCTGTGTAAATGGCCATGTTTGTGCTTCTTGCATTTGTATGCAGGCAGCCTTAGTCATGTATTTTGGCAAGGTGGGGGGGAATGGAGAAGGATGGATAGAATACCATCAGTTGAATTAATTATGAAGAGCTCCAGAAATAAATTAGGAATAGGATTAAAGTTATCTGGAGTTACAACCTACAGGATCTTGGCAGCCAAAAGAAATCCCTTCTTTACTATACCCATAAGCTCCTCCTTGGCATCTATGGTGTGATCTATTTCTGTGTGTTCATGAATCTCATCTGTTACCATCGAACAGGATTATGAACTGGATGCTGAGAAACTGCGCTCAGTCATGGATATGGAGAACAGGAGAAGTTCCTATCCTAAACGCTCCAGAATCTTGTCACCTGCAAACAAAGTGAAAGAGGAGGTACTTTTAAAAGCCTTAACTTTTATCTCTACAGTTTTTAAATGTAGGCCTCAGCCTTCCTGAACCACAAACTCTTGCTTATGTTTAACAGGAGACCGATTTATCTGCAAGGTTTACAGAGGCCAGTGCGGTCAACAAGCAGAGGCTGCAGACCCTGGAGTTTGCTCAGAACCTACTGCGTCAGGTAAACAAACATCAGTAACTGTTTGCAGATTGGTTCGCCATGAAAGTTCACATAGCTTGGGCCTAGCATAAAAAATTTTGATTAGTGGGCAACTGAATGAATTACCTTCCAGGGTTAACTGTAGGAGAACCCAAATAATTACTCTACATTGTAAAGAGTGATTCTATTCAGAAAGTTTTGGTTGGATAGGTAGAAGGCAAATAGATTAATGCCATGTTTTTCCATTGTCTAGACTTATAGGGGTTTATTTACTAAAGCTGGAGAGTCCAAAATCAGACTCCCTTCTGCATAGAAACCAATCAGCTTCTAACCTCAGCTTGTTCAATGAAGCTTTGGCAATGAAACCTGGAAGCCGATTGGTTTCTATGCAGAAGGGAGTCTGATTTTGGACTCTCCAGCTTTAGTAAATAAACCCCTCAATGTCCCGGGGGGGGATTATTAAAACTGCTGTTACCTTTGCCGGTGCCTATGCTACCAAATGCTGCTTTGTTTAGTATGAGAGGTCCCCTGAAAGTTCACTGGGATTTCCTTGGTCCCTGCAGCTCTCACTGGTTCCTTCTTCTCAACTTATGTTACTTTCTTCTGCAATAACATAATTTGAAAGGGAAGAACCAATGAGAATTGCAGGGACTAGGAGGATTGACAGTCCTAGATGTGTCAGCTTCCCAGTGGACTTTGGAAGACCAGTTCTACTGAATGGAGCAGTGTTTGGCAGCATGAGCACCAGGTAGGGTGAGCATACACTCTCTACTTTTACAGGTAGCAACGGTATAAAACAAAGTTTAGGCTTTAGATATACTTACGCAAGATGTCATCTGGAGAGCCTCAGATATAACAAAGGTACCAAAATGCTGCCAGATGGGCTGAGGAATGGCTGGTTTAACTAGAGGCTTAACACAAATTTTCTTTTTGACAAATTGTCAAAAGCATCCATTTGATCTTTCAAGGACACATCCACTGTCTTAAGAGATTTGACAGTATATGATATGGCGTTACTCCAAACAAAACCTAAAATTTAATTTTTTTTATACATACAGCAGCCAGATGAGGACATAAGACAAGACTCAGTCCAGATGGTTCGTTCTGAGAAACCCCCTGAGGAGACTTGGAAGATTAAGAAGATGTTGGATGATGAGGTACAAAGAAGGCAGCAACTGGAATCTGAGATAAGGAGCACTCAAGAGGAGATCATATATCTCCAGAATCAGAAACCTCAAGAAACTATAGTAAAGAAGGAAGTTCTGAAGAAAGTTCCAGATCCTCAACTGGAAGAGGACTACCATAAGGTCCTTGAAAGAGTTTCAGAAGAGCAGCGTAAGAATAAATCTTTGCAGGATGAATTGGAAACCCTGAGAATAAAGGTTCGGACCTTAGAGTATGAGCAAAAGGAAGGGGGGCAGCAGTATGTTGTTAAAGAAGTACTAAGGATTGAGAAGGACAAAGATCAGCAGCAGGAGTTTCAAAGGCTCAAAGAAGAGTTGGAGGAACTGAATCGTCAAAAGAGCACAAAGCAGAATGAGATTACCAACTTGAAGGAACGCATCTTTATATTGACAGAAGAGAAGAACAAACCCCAAGAAAAGGTCACAGAAAAGGAAGTTGTTAAACTTCAAAATGATCCTCATTTGGCTTCAGAATATAGAATACTTCAGGAGAACATGCAGAGAGAGAATGCCCAGCGGCAAAAGGAGGAGGAAGAATTGCAGCTTCTACAAGAGAAACTGAAACGTCTGGAAAAGGAGAGAGCTATGGCTGAAGGCAAGATCACAGTAAAGGAAGTGTTGAAAGTAGAGAAAGACCTTGCCTCTGAGAGGGAGGTATCTGACCTTCGTAGGCAATATGAGGAAGAGTCTTCAAAGATACGCATCACTCAACGAGAAAAAAATGAGCTGATACGGAAGATAGGTCTAATGGAGCAGGAAAATGCCAAAGTTGTAGTACAAGAGAAAGTACGTGAGATTGTTCGACCAGATCCTAAAGCTGAAAGTGAACTTGCCAACTTACGAGTTGAGCTGATTGAGCAAGAAAGGAAATATCGTGCTGCAGAGGAGCAACTGAAAATCTTCCAGAGTGAACTATCAGTCCTCAAATCACGTGGTCCACAGGTGGAAGTGAAGGAGATAACCAAAGAAGTCATTAAGCACAAGACAGATCCAGAGATCTTGGCTGAACTGGAGAGGCTCCGTGGGGAGGTTCTAGAGAAGACTAGAGTGGTGGAACGTTCTGAACTAGAGATCAATCAGCTTAAGCAGGAGATAAAAAGCTGGATTGATACGAAACCTCAAGTACAAGTTAAGGAAGTGGTTCAAGAGGTTCTACAATATCGTGAAGACCCTGACACCAAGAAGGAGGTTGAAACCTTACGAGCCAAGTTGGCTGAAGAGCAGAAGAAGCGCATTGACTTAGAAAGTGAAAGAATGACCCAAGAAGAAAAGATCAGGCAGAAAGAGCTAGAGCTGTTACAGGTGAGAGAGAAAGTAGTGCAGCAGGAGGTGGTCAAATATGAAGAGGATCCTTTGTTGAAATCTGAAGTCAACAGTTTTTCGAAGAGCATTCAAACTGAGCTTAAACAAAAGGATTCCCTGCAAGAGGAGTTGCGCAAGTTGCAATGGAGGAAATCAGAGCTTGAACGCCAGCTTGAAGAGCTTGAAAGGGAACGACAGTCCCGGCGCGAAGCAGAACTGGAAATTCAGAGGCTTAAAATCAGGTTGAATGAGCTGGAGCAAAGAGAGATTGAGACAAAAGAAAAAGTAACACTGAAGCAGAAGGTTGTGCTACAACAAGATCCTCAGCAAGAGAAAGAGCACAACATGCTAAAACTTCAAGTAGAAGAGGAGAGGCACAGAAGGCAGATTCTAGAGACTGAACTGGACGCACTAAGGAAAAAGCTCATTACATTGGAGAAGATGGAGGTGAAGGAAAAGGTTGTTTTCACAGAGAAAATAGAAGTTGAGAAAGATGCTGAGACTGAGCAAGAAATACAGAGGCTGAAGTCCATGATGGAGGAAGAGAGCAAGCGTAAGCGAGATTTAGAAGCAGATGTTGATCGCCTCCAAGCACAGCTTTCAGAATTAGAGTTCAGCAATTCCAAATCCAACAAGGAACTGGAATACTTAAGAGAGGAAGTCCACAAACTTCAGATGGACAAACAAAGTCTACAGCTAGAGACCCGTCACCTGCAGTCAGAGATTGAAATTACCATAAAGGAAGCCCAGGGCTTGAGAAGCTTGACTCAAGTTGACAGTGGCGTTAACCTAGATTCTCGCTTAGCTTCTTTGGAACAAGAATTGAGGGACCTACAGAAAATCTCCCGAGACAAAGATGCAGAAATTGAAGAGCTTCACAAACGCTTGGATACTATGCAGATCAAGAGGGAACAGAGGGAGAACCATCTCCGCCGCTCTATCGTTGTCATCGATCCTGACACTGGCCGAGAAATGTCACCAGAAGAAGCTCGAAACTTGGGCTTGATCGACTGGAAAATGTTTGTCAACTTACAAAGCCAGGAATGCGACTGGGAGGAGACCACAATTAAGGGGCCAAATGGTGACTCATCCGTTATCCATGATAGGAAGTCAGGCAAAAAATTCGACATAGAAGATGCCCTAAAGAACGGGCGCATTACAAAACGTCAATATGAGAATTACCTCAACAAAGAGATGTCCATCCAAGAATTTGCAGCCTTAGTTTCTGGGAAGAAGTAAGCTCCAGGTGCAGTCACTACGCTGACGGCGGCCAAAATATGGACACTGAACAGGGATACAACTGCTGTCAATAGGTCTGTTACTCTGCTCAACAGCAAAACATCTTTGCTTCTGTCACTATCTTGAACCATGCACATACTGGAAGATCTTTCACTACTACAATGCTGTGTTCTTAGTGGTCTGCAGACTTGAAAATGTGATTAAGGCTTTTTTCTGGAGCCCTTAGCATCCCCTTACCTAGGCCAAAATCTGATCTCCAGAGCTCTGTGTTGAGGAAGTAAAGTATGAATAGCCATAAAAATTGAATCAACTAAAAAAAAAAGAAAAATCAGAGTTATCTTATTTTTATAGGTAATTCTCCTGAAATAAAGAAAATGTATAAAGAGAAAGATCTTGACTTTATTAGCATCTACTCAAGTTTATGCAAAATATACTACATAAAGTGCCTATGTATTTTTGTTACTACATTCATTGTTGTATTATGCAATTTCCATGCCAAAATGTCAAAGAAAATGCATCTTTACAAAACATGCACTGAACAGATATCGCGAATGTAAAATAACCAAAACCACAAAGGCGTGTTTGGTGTATACTCTTCTTTCTCCCTGTGACTTAGAAGAAAAGTGATTTATATCATTTGGTATATGGTTTAGATAAGCACAGTTTCTGTCCTGTTACATGTCTATGGTGGTACATTACTAACCTAACCCTTTTTAGACAAAAGGCTGTGGCATGCTGGCCACAGTATCTTTTCTGTATATCTTTTGTTAATTTCTGAGTGGGCTAGGGCAATTACGGAAACATATTTTATTTATGGTATCGCTAAATAAAGATGCGGTGGTTTTGAACACCTTGTGGCCTGAATTATTTGGCAAATTAGTTTCGATAAGAACAAGTTTTTTTGGCAAACATCAAAATTGATCTTGAAGCAACATTATCAGGAGTAATGTATGGGGGGCTTCTATTGCTGGAAGTGGAACATCACTGAGATAAGACCATCATTCTGCTCCCTCTTCAGGTTTTGGAGAGTACTCATTATTATTATTATACAGTATTTATAAAGCACCAATAGTTCGCTCAGCGCTGTACATTACAAAGGGGGACAGAACATGTGACAGAACAATACCAATACAATGCAAAACATGAGGGGATCGAGGGCCCTGCTCTTTCGAGCTTACAATCTAGGAGGGAGGGGATGGTGGTACAGGAGGAGATAGCTGTGGGGGATGGAGTGGTAGGGAGAGTGGAGGAGGTCGGCAAGTTAGCAGGGGGTGGGGTAGGCTTCCCTGAAGAGGTGGGTTTTCAGGGTGCGCCTAAAGGAGAGGAGAGTAGGTGATAATCTGATGGGTTGGGGCAGGGAGTTCCAGAGGATGGGTGACACCCTGGAGAAGTCCTGGAGGCGGGCATGGGAGGAGGAGACCAGGGAACTAGAGAGAAGGAGGTCTTGTGAGGAGCGAAGTGTGCGTGCTGGGCGGTACTTGGATATTAGGTCAGTGATGTAGTATGGGGCAGTATGGTGGACAGCTTTGTACATCAGTGTTAGGATTTTGAATTTGATCCGTTGCGCAATCAGAAGCCAGTGGAGGGATTGGCAGAGGGGGGGTGGCGGAAACGGAGCGGTTGGAAAGGTGAATGAGTCTAGCTGCTTTATTCAGGATGGACTGAAGCGGGGATAGCCAGCGGCGAGGCAGGCCAGTGAGGAGGGAGTTGCAGTAGTTGAGTCGCGATATGATGAGGGAGTGGATGAGCTGTTTAGTGGTTTCTGGGGTTAGGAACGTGCGGATTTTGGCGATGTTGCGGAGGTGGAGTCTGCACGAGTTTGTTAATGATTGGACTTGGGGCTGGAAGGATAGGTTGGAGTCCAGAATGACACCAGTACTCTGGCCTGCGGGGCGGGTTTGATGGTGGCGTTGTTGGATGTGATGGAGAAGTCAATGGGGGGTGGTGTCCGAGCTGGGGGGAAGACAAGAAACTCGGTTTTGGAGAGGTTCAGTTTAAGGAAGTGGAGCGACATCCAGTCTGATATGTCGCTCAGTAGGTGTGTGATTCGGGCGGAGACCGAGGGGGTGAGGTGGGGGGTTGAGAGATAGATTTGTGTGTCGTCGGCATAGAGGTGGTAGTTGAAGCCGTGAGAGTTTATGAGTTGGCCAAGGGAGGAGGTGTAGATGGAGAAGAGAAGGGGCCCAAGGACAGAGCCTTGAGGTTTTGGGATGTTGCTCTCTCCGCCAATCGTGTTGGGCGACAACTCATACAAAGAGCTTAAAGTAGTTACTGAATGTATGTCTCAAAATGGATGCATAACTGGGGGGGGGGGGGGGGGGGGGGTGTTAAAATTAACCTGGGCTCAACTGGAGGACCTGTACTATGGGAGCTGTGACCAAAAAAAAGTAAGCAAGGACAGGCCTAACCATGACTACCGATAGACTTCCTACAGTTGATCTTTTCCCCCCAATACTGACTTACCATGGCTTGTTCTGCACTGCGTCTTTGTGTGGAGTGGGCCATTTTGGCAAAGGTGGGGCTTTAGATGTCAGAGCCTCCAATAAAGAGCAGTGAGCAGCACAATATCTTACTCCATTTAAAAATCCTGAGACTAGCAGTCAGAGGCAGTAGTAACTTAGATGACTCTCTCAACTATGACACTGTAGGCATGCTCACACACCAGGAACGTACACTTTAATTTCAGAGTTGAATATTTTAAACTTTTAGGCCAGCCATACATGGATCGAAAATGTATCCGGTTGAGCAGGGCATGGTGAAATTTCAATCTATGTATGGGCCTGGTGGTTGTACAGAAGTTGATTTTCTGTACACCTCTGTTAGGTTTTCCCTGCTTAATCAGTGCTGCAGGCTATAGCCTGCAATGCTGATCAGTATATACCAGGGTTTCTCAATCAAGGTTCCTCCAGAGGCTGCCAGGGGTTCCTTGAGCAATTTTTGCCTCTCAGGTAAGAAAATGACACCATTGATCATTTTAGCTATCTTCCCAATGACCACAAGTATAAGGAGCATTCTTCCCTCTGACTATCACACTAATGTTTCATGAATTGTAGATAGTCTTTTTTAGCAGGGGTTCCCCGAGACCGGAAAGTTATGCCAAGGGTGCCTCTGCGTTGAAAAAGGTTGAGAAAAATCTGGCGTATACTGATGGCAGGGACGTCTCTCATGGTCAAAATACAATAGCTCTGCGGGGAACATTCCCCCATCCACACACTTGGCCAGGCCTTTTTTATTTTTCTTTCAATGTGCTGGTTGAACAAAAAAAAAAACAAACAAAAAAAAAAAAAAAAAAAAAAAAAAAAAAAAAACGACACCTATTAGCTGCTTATGAGTGTTTTTTAATTTACAATAATAAGCAAAAGGAAGACTCACTGAGAAAACGTACAATTTTATTTACACAAAACCAGCAAGTGACATACAAAACCCCACATGGTACATTTTTTCCCTTGCTCTCTTCATCACCATTTATAAACATAGAATTACAACTTGGCAGGACTGGTCGCAGATACTAAACAGACCTAAGGAAACCCTGAGCTTTGAACCACCCAGTTTTCAAGTGGACAATCCTGCATTTGTCAGCAGCCATAAAGCACAGAAGCTATAAAGTTGTTTTTTCTTCCCTTTTATTAAGGACACGCAATGCGACTACTGATATTCACCCCCTGCCTATAAACCAGCTAGCACAGGGCCAGTGTTCAGCAAGAAAATGGGGTACAATAAAGAAAAACATGGGCAGATGTAGGTTGTGTGCAATGTTCCAGGACAGGTCCCTTGCCCTAACTGAAAAGGCCTAGTGAATGCTGGGAAAAATGGCAGTTATTAAAGAGATAAATTCACCTTTTGGAGCATGTTACACCCATACTTAGGGTTGTAACATGCTCCAGCACATGTCCCTCCTCACCCCCACCATCACAGCAAGAGGGGATCCTCTTCTCGCACCCGCTACCATATTTTGAAAACAGCGGAGCTACGTCATTCATTCACAGGAGTCTGTGACTGAGAGAACAACAAATACCATCTTCCACTGTAACAGTGGCTTGTAGTTCTCAATGAATTGCAAGGGCGCCAATGAGCATGATTGTAGTTCATTCACAAGCCCTTCAGCTTCCGGACTGACAACCCATTCAGAGATACAGGCTGAAAGCTGTAGGGCTTGTCTACAGGAGCCTGACATTGCATCCTTGATCGACTAATCACGGGTGCAATGCCTTGCAGGCCCCCATATGAAAAAATAATAAATGCACATTTCTTTCTGCAAAAATATGTGCATTCATTTTTTTTTTTTTTTATTTCACCAAATGGTAAACTTAGCCTTTAAGGATACCCTCTATTCATGAATATCCCTCATCCGCAATGGATAGGATCATCTCTGCTTATGATTCTGTACTTGGAATGAATATGTGGGTTTCGTTTTATGGTACAACTAAGACTGTAGTCTCCAAAATGTGGCTCGGGGGATGAATGCGGCCTTTGCTTACTTTCATCCGGCCCTATTACCTCCACTGTTAGCGACAGTAAGCACATATTTTTATTGCCACTGGCACCAAAAAACAAGGCACAATTCCTCCCACTGACACCAATGATGGGGCGCTATTCCTCCACTGACGCCAATGATGGGGGCACTATTCCTCCACTGACCTGCCAAATGATGGGGCACTATTCCTCCACTGACGCCAATGATGGGGCACTATTCCTCCACTGACACCAATGATGGGGCGCTATTCCTCCCACTGACGCCAATGATGGGGCGCTATTCCTCCCACTGACCGCCAATGATGGGGCGCTATTCCTCCCACTGACGCCAGTGATGAGGCGCTATTCCTCCCACTGATGCCAGTGATGAGGCGCTATTCCTCCCTCTGGCATCAGTGGTAGGTATAACCCCCCATCATTGGCATCAGATGGAGCGATAGTGCCCCATCATTGGCATCAGTGGTAGGGCATTGGCATCAATGATGGGGCACTATCGCTCCCTCTGATGCCAATGATGGGGCACTATC